GAATCAGAAGGGAATTCTAGAGGATCAGTGAACTCGACAAAGTGGTGATTAACTCGCTCCCATAACTCACATGCCTCAGGTTCCGACCAGCTTCTCCACCCAGAAGCCCCAGAGGAAGAAGAAGCCATAGCCTCATCCCATGCAGAAGATTATGGATTAGAAGAAGAACTTCCCATGTCCATATTTGCAAATTTCTGAATCAAAGGATTGTGGACAGTGTGTTCGTAGTCCAAGGGTTGATAATTTGCAAAAGCTTCCATGACTTGAATATAGAAAGGTGGGTAAAGGTGGCAAATCAATGCATGAAGGTTCTTTCGAGGAAGAACAACATCATCAGATGACTCTTCGTATACTCGATTAATAGAAGAGAGAATTGGTTTGGCCATAAAAAATGTATCAGTCTGTTCGAATACTAAGGTGGTGAGGATGTTCAAAAAATTAAAAGAGAATTTAATACAAATGATGAATGACGGTTGCATTTCTCGAAGAATGCAAAGCCTATGCACGTTCTAAGATGTGGATAAAAGACCTTGATCCACTAATATCACCAAGTATTGGGTACATAGTGCGGGGGGTAATGTTAGCTACATATTTTGTATAAGCCAATTACAATTCAACGCGTGACAGAATAAGGGTAATGTGGGAAGACTATTCAAGTCTTCGATCGTGATCGTACACGTGGCAGTTAGTATTGGTTCTTACAAGATTTGCGTAGCACTGGATCAGCAAAGAGATGCAAAGTAATATGGCTTCAACAGTTACTTACATTCAAATTCAAAATCAGGAGGGAAGCCTAACTGCAGGTAATGACATAGTGGAGCTGACTATAAGGCAACATGATCAGCGATCATGGAGGAGCGATTCGACAGTTAGAAGTGCAATTTGATGGTCATCATTGAGAAGTATAAATAGCAGAGAAAGCCCCAGGAAAAGCCCGAGACTCAGATCAAAAAAATCAGTTTTATCTACTTTATTTCCTTTCCAGTTTTACATTTCCTGTTCTTTGTATTTCTGTACTTTAAAATTCCTGCACTGCACTTCGTTCATAGGAGTAGTTTCAAGTAAATTGTTGCTGTAAACCTCTACGAGGCTGAATTGGATCATTGTAAGTCTTTCGTTTTGCTTAATGAAATACTGCAATTGTTTTTCATATTAATCATTGTCAGTTTATTCCTCCTACGTAAAGCCACCAATAAAAGTCCTTTTCATTGAGGCTGAAAGAACTAAAGCACAATCGTCTGATAATTGGTTGACAATTAAATTTTTGTAAGGACTGATTGATCCTTGTTGGCACGCTCACAATTACAAAAATAACTTTCGACAACAAAATTGCTTAATGGTAATTCCTTTGGATGATTTGAAATTAAAGTGGGATTGGTGAATCGGCTAGGGCATGAGGTGAAAGCGAGGGAAGAACAAAGCAAATGGACAAAAACCTATGGGAATTCATATTATTAGTCCTTTTAGAAAAAGGTATCAATGAGTGGATTGATTCAGCCTCAGTCCATAGTTTAGCATGGTTAAGAATTGATCTCAGTAATATACAAGTGTGACTTGCTACAATTGTCTGGAAGTGTGTGTTCATGTCTGGAGGCATCCAAATGATACCTAGATGACTTGCGAATTGTGGCAATATGTTGCTGATTTGAGAATTGGTCATGATCTCGATAGCTCAAAAGAATCTGAGCTTTTTTGTTTGTTGGAGCATTCTAGTTATATACTGATGAGCTTACTGGGTGATGATTACAAAGAGTGAATAGTTCTAAACTGTTGGATTGGCCATACTTTCAGTATTGAACAACCGCATAATATTTTGTTAAAGAATTAAGTTGAGTCCTGTATGGTTTAGAAAATTGTGCTCAAGACTTGGGCAAATGCATGTGTGGTCCTCTTCTGTGCTGGAGTTTTCCTTACTCTTTTCTGTATGAAATTGTCTGCAAAAAGCCACTGAGATGAGTAATTATGGTATAATTCCATTTTATTTATTTGTTGTGCATATCCTTAACCAGGTATATGGGCTTATTACAGGAACCAAATATTAGACCAAATATTAAGGGTCGTCAAGTATAATCTTAAGAATAAATCGTTCAAATCGTTCATTATATGAGTACCGATGTTCCATTAGTCAAATTTTTTTCCCCATAGATGATGTGTTTGGTGAGTCCCATAAATAGGAAATTACTCTCGAGAAAGATAACTTATAGATGACTCTTATTAATAAAAAAATTACTCTCTAAAAAGATAATGATTGTAAGGATAGAATTAGACCCGGCGAATCAGGAAGCAATGAAATGAAATTAGGGATTAGATTAATAAAGCTCAAAAACATAATTAGTCTTCCAAATGGAGACCCCACCTTAAGATTGTGAGTGTGGTGTATGTGGTTCATGCATCTTCTCACACTACACAAATTGTCTCATTCTTCCATTAATGGAAATCCATCAATCTATTTTTGCACTAAATAATGTTTACTTGTCGTCATGAGTTATACTTATTATATGTCAGTTCACTTTCAAGTCTTACCCTCTCTCTGTGCATCTTGAGAGAGAGAGAACTTTGTGGATGGTTGGATTCATTCTTTTACAGGTTATTGTGGTTTTAGCGGTTGCTAATTATCTTAATATTTTGAGTTAATAGAAAGTAAATAAAACAATATATATCAAGTTATATCAAGTCTTGTTAACTCCCCGTTATGTCCTAAATTAGAGGTTTGATAGTGTGTTTAGATCATCAATTAGCTCAATTTTTTTTCCCTCGGAAAAATGACCCCATAAGATAAGTGAGACTTGTGAATGAAAATTATATGATCGTATCTTATGTTTGAAGGAATGAAAATGAATGACATTATTGTGTTCTTGATTAATTTTTTTTAATAAACTTTTATCTCATCCCACTCTAATGGGATACAAGTTTCATATTCTTGCATGCTATCCTATCATCAAAATATACAACCAAATATGAAATAAGAGTGGTGTTACATTCCCTAATATATCACTCCTATTTTGACTTCTAAGAGCATCTCCAATGCTGCATCAAAATTTTCATCAAATTTGAATAAAAGTTTGATGAAAAGTTGGATTTGATTTGATATGATACACTCCAATGATAAATTCAAAATTTTTATCAAATCTTGTTACAAGCCAGTTGTTCAAGAAAATATCTGGGAGGACGTATTGACGTTTAGTTAAAAAAAACTCAGTTGTCTGGGAGGACATCTGGGCAAACGTTCAACCTAACGGTTAGGTGCAAAATTTGATGACGGATAAAAACTCCCTTCATTTGATATCAAATTGATGAAAGGATTTGAGTTTAAATTTACCGCTTTGAAAGACTTGATGAAGAGTTAGAGATGACCTAATTAGGTGGAAGAGAGAGAATAGAGAAAAATAGAGAGGAGAAGGATTAGGAATAAGGAGTGTGTCCATTCTATATCATTAGGTGTGAATTAGAAGTACTCAATTAAAACTCTCAAATATTTATATATATATATATATATATTATGAATTGGGAAAATAACCCATCAGTGGATGGTGGGGAAACAAATTACAAATTAATGATAAAATTTATAAATTTTAATTATTAAAGTTATAACTTTTCCATTAGCATGTAATTATTTTTGAAAACCTCACCTGATTTGTAATTTCCCCTTATGAATTTTTGTTAAAAGTTTTTCGAACAGTTTTTGTTGGTAGTTTTTATGAGACAAGAATAATTTTAAATAAAAAAATTAATTATTTAAAAATTAAGAGAGAAATGATCAATTTTCAATTTGAAAAAAAATTAACCAAATAAGTCCACTGTCTATCAACTTCAACTTCAAGACATGTCCTAAGAAAAGTACCATAGCACTAATGCAAGTAATAGTAAAACCATGCAAATAAGAGATTTGACAACCTGGTTGTCCAAGTTTCACTTGGTAGGTATAAAACAGATGCAAAATTTGATTTTGATTCTCATTGCTACATCAAAGCAGACAAACTTGATTAATAAGTGATGGCCAAAAAGAAAAAAAAGAAACCCTATAAAAATATCTTGCTTTTGCCCCTGTGCCTAGGTTGCCACTAATTTCTTTGGGTGCATGCATGAAGCAACTTTACTTGCCGACCCTTCCTTCACTCTCCAAAAAATAAAAAAAAAAAAAAAAAAAAATTTGAATTTGACCATTTTAGTAGGGCAGTAAATAAAGCAAACCGAAGTTTACGATACTTGTTTACTTATTGAACTCATATTCAGCTCAAAAATTAATCAATAATGATTTAAATTACTAAAAAATACATCACTAATAACATTAATACATTGAGACTCACTGCCACATCATTAGTGCTCCTTTTTTAGTGCTCCCAAACATTTTTCAAAATTAATCTAATTTGAACTTGTTTCGACTCATCAATATTAATTAGGTTAGAACTTGACTTGATCGTCTATAATGAAAAAAAAAAAAACGTTAGCTCGATTGATTCATTAAATAGTATAATATAACATGTATTATATACATATTATAATGGATCATGTTAATAATAATTTTATGAGTTGTCAATAAGAATTTAAAAAAAAAAAAAAAAAAAACTTAAAATTCAATACGCTTTATATATATTTTTGAATATTTTTTAATACACTTTTCAGGTTAATATCATGGCTAATAATAGCCATTTAAGATCGTTTTTTATGTTTAAATAATTAACAAACAAGTAGAACTTGATTCTAGTTGGAACTTAGATTAGTTTATTAAACTATCCTAAAAATCTTTCCCTTTCTCCTTTGAGCAATGGTAGAGGGCCCAAATTCTGTGGCTCAAATGTGGTTCAAATAGCCAAAACGACGTCGTTTTGAGTACAAAACAACATCAAAATGGCCAAAACGACGTCGTTTTGGCCATTTGAGCCACATTTGAGCCACATAATTAGGGCCCCAAACATTTTTCTTCTCCTTTAAGCTAGACTAGATTAAGTATTTTCAATGTAAAAACCAAAACCAAAAACAAGAAAACAAACACATAAAGATGACTGGGACGATTGCTTATTTATACATATATAATGCATATATCATATGATATGCACTGAAAGCATTAATATTGAAAGCATCATATATATAATAATAGTAACAGTAATACTTATACTACTACTAGTTGAAAACACTAAACGATTTTGAATAAAAAAAAAGAAAAGAAAAAAAAGAAAAGAAAACACTAAACGATGAATACAAACACAGCAGAGCAAAGCAACAGAGCCTTTTTTTATAATTGTAGTTTATTTAGTACACCAGGGGGTTCTGATGATGAAGATCTTCAAGCATCCACAGATTAACTGAGTTGGCCTCACCCAGTCCCTCGAACTGAGTTAACACTGAGTCCAAACCCAGGAACGATTCCAAGCTAGAAATCTGCTCTTTGAACTCAAATTCATCAAGACAATTGACCTGGGGTGGTGGTGGTGGCTCGGTGGGTAGTGGGCTCACCTGAGTGGACTCAGGGATGACGCATCGCCTCTTGGCCGGCGGCGGCGTTGGTGGTGGCTGAGCGAAATTGAGCTTGGCTTTGTCGCCGCGGATGCGCTTAGCGGCTTCGTCGTAGGCTATGGCGGCTTCCTCAGCGGTATTGTAGGTTCCGAGCCAGACTCGGACTCCCTTCTGTGGGTCGCGAATCTCAGCCGCCCATTTCCCCCATGGCCTCTGCCTGATTCCTCTGTATATGTTCTTCCGAGTCCTCTGAGTCTGACTCTTCGCCCCCTCACTCTTCTTCCCTACAATTTACACAACCCATTACATATGTGTGTGTGTGTGCGCGCGCGCGCGTGTGTGAATGAGAGATGTATTATATATATCACCTTTGTTGAGTTGTTTGGGCTTGCGAGTTGTGGTCTTCTTGTTGTCGGACTGGGATGAGAGGTCTTTGAAGCCATGGCTACCCAGACCAAAAAAATCGGAGGAGAAGGGGTCGAGTTCGGACCAGAGGTCGGTCGTCGTCAGTTTTCGGCTCCAGTGGTCGGGGACGAAGTCGGAGATGATCGCACCCCCGCACATCTTTGTTGTTACCTTTAGATAGAGAGAGAGAGAGAGAGATAAGAGTGTGGAGGAGAGGCTTTAGCGAGCGAGGCGTGGATTTATAGAGAAACGTTAGGGATTTGGAAAGATATTAAAATAAAAAAAATAGATAAAATATAAATAAAATATATTTTTATTTTATTTTATTTCAAATATATTTTTAAATTTTTTTAATCAAACACAACATTAAGGCCTAGTTTGGCATAATACAAAAAAGTCAAAAAGTCAAAAAGTCACTATCTTATTTAAGTCACATCATCTCATTTAAATCACATCATCTCTCTACTACATCACTTTAAACTCAACCCATATTTCACGTTTTTTGGTAAAAAATTAAAAAGTACACTTATTTAGATCATCCCAAACAACCCCTAACATATATCATAAAAGAAAAAATAACATAATTTTATATTTTTTGAATTATAATTAAAAAAATATTATAATTAAACACAATATAACATATAATTAAAAAATTTATGAGTTATAATTAAAATAATTTTTTAATTTAAAAAAATTAAGCATAACTAAAAGTGAATATGTTATATCTTATTTATACTGTATTTAGTTAAAAAATTTGAAAAAAAAATTAAATAAAAAAATATAAACAAAATATAAACAAAATACAACGATATTTTAAATAATTTTATATATTTCTCAATTCTCTTTTTAAATTTCTTTTCAAATCTTATAACCAAGCACAGCGTTATGGGGTCTTTAACTTTATATTGTTGGTTGAGTTTGTGTTAAGTTTGAATAGTGAGATATTTGCACCATATATTCCGAGTGTGTCAAGTTACTTTTTTTTGTTTTTTCTCTGGGGAAATTTGATCAAACGGTGTGAAGTGAACCAGTGAGGTTTTAAACGGGTGATAAATGAGGGAGGGGGGGAGTGTGGGGTCCGGGAACTTGATCGGACGGTGAGGATTGAAGCCAGTGAATATGTGGGGTCCATCATGGGGAATCGTGAAAGTTGATCTCAGGGGTGTGGGCCCCAAGTGAGGAGGAAATAGGGATCCGTGTCGGAGTGCGTGGGTGTGTGTGTGTGCGCGTGTGATTAGGGTGTGTACTGTAAAGAGTCATGCAGCTCAGCAGCTGTAGTAGTAAACAAACGTCACAGTGCTTCCAAAATTTAACGGCTCAGAGTTTACGATGAGATTTTGAAGGTTTTTTCTTTTTTTTCTTTTTTTTGTTCGTTTGTTTTGTTGTGTCGTTTTTTGATCTAATGATATTGGATTAAGAGATTTGAAAAAATTGAAAAAAAATACAAAGAAATAGGAAAAATATTTGGATTAAGAGATTTGAAAAAATTGAAAAAAAATACAAAGAAATAGGAAAAATATAAATATATTTTATCAACATTTCACGTACTTTTTTCATTTCTCTTTATAAATTTCTTGTCAAAATTTTCAATTAAATACAGCATAAGAGACTATTCGTTGTTGGATTTTTTAAATTATTTTTGGGTAAATTTTTTAAAAATTATGTTTGAAAAGTTGATCGATTTTTTATTTTTATTTTTTGTTTTTGTAAATTTTTTAAAAATTGATTTATTTGAAAAGTTGAGTATTTTTTGTTTTTGTGAATCAAAAAGTGGAGTAATTTGTTTTTGATTTTCTGAGCATATGATCATTTCACGTACTTTTTTTATTTCTCTTTATAAATTTCTTGTCAAAATTTTCAATTAAATACAGCATAAGAGACTATTCATTGTTGGATTTTTTTAATTATTTTTGGGTAAATTTTTTAAAAATTATGTTTGAAAAGTTGATCGATTTTTTATTTTTATTTTTTGTTTTTGTAAATTTTTTAAAAATTGATTTATTTGAAAAGTTGAGTATTTTTTGTTTTTGTGAATCAAAAAGTGGAGTAATTTGTTTTTGATTTTCTGAGCATATGATAAACAAATTTCTTTAACTTTTTAATTTTTTTAACCATAGGTTAAAATGTTGATTTTTTTAGAACATTTCAAATAACTATTAAATTAGGGTGTGACTCGTTTATGTAAATTAAATTGACGAGTTTTAATTTCTACAATACTTAACAAGTCAAGTTTAAACTCAAATTTTCAAAATATTACTAAGTTTTTCAAGCCAAAATTAAAAAATGCTCAATTATTTGGTTATCCTTTACATATTCAAATAATAAGAATGGCAAGGCTTTATGTCATTTAATATATTTTACTAAAATTGAACAAGTTATGAAGTCAAAATATGTCTCCCTTGTAGTTCCTTATTTTGACTCAGGCCCATAGTTTTGCATCACAAAAAGCTTGTCAAAGATAGGAGGGCATTTCAAGAAACACAAAGAAAATTATATAAGGTAGTATATTTTAATATCTTCAAAGATTGGTAGGTACATGCATAATTTTCTAATGATGTCATGTGTGATAAATGCTCAAAAGAAATAACCAAACTAATGGTGAAGAGACCAATTGAGAATGTGTCTAGATCTAAAATACCTGAATTTGTTGAAAAAGAAACATACTAAGAAAAAGTGCAACCATGTTCCTATTTTGCATCACTATCAGTAGTGAAATTTTACAAAAAGAGGCCAATATAAAATTATTTAAATTTTAAAAACACAAATAAATTACATAAATTTTTATCATTAAAAAAGAAAAAAAACCCCAAAATACTATATGGGTTTCTTAAAGTTTGGAGGGCCCAATGACTAATTGTTTGGATAATTTTTTTCTTACAGCTTATGGACAAAAATAGTTTAAATAAATTAAAAAAATTGATTACTGAGAAACTAATGGAGGAGTATTTTTAATTTTTATTGACAAAAAGCTGCACTAAACAAGCCTTCATTGTGATTAAACTTGTTATGGTGCGAGGCTTGAGTTCTGTAATATATGTAGGTATTTAACATTAGGGCTTGACCTAGTAGATAAGCTCCCTTGCCGATTGTGACACTAAATTCAAGTCTTATTTGCTGTAAACGGAACTATCCTTTCCCTATTCCCCTCTTATCAGTCGAACAGAAAGATTAAGGTGTCGTTTGGTAATACTACGTTTTTAGTTTTTTGTTTATATTTATAAAAATTTTAAAAACTCAAATAAAAACTTATTTGGTAAAATTTTTGATTTATAAATCAGTAGTTCAGTTTATAAATTTGGCCAAAAAATTAAAACACAAAAAATGTATTTCCATTTTGAGTTTTGAGTTTTTTTTTTTTTACCACCCAACACTAGTATTTTTTGATATTCTCACTTTCTATTTTTTGAAATTTAATAGAAAAAGGAGAAGCATGGTATGTATTCTTTCACCCATTAATTTCAAAGATATCACTTTCATTTAGCACTTTGTTACATGAGATCTGGTGATATATCCAATTTGGGTTTTAAATAGCGGGTATTGATGGATTAATGGGTATAGGTTGTGAAGTAGGAGTATCAAGCAAAAAATCAAGAGTCAGGTGACACGGTTATGAATTTTTTAAAATTATTAACAGTAAAAAAGAGTTTTATAGTAATTGAACTAGTTGTATTAATTGTGATTCAGATCATGACCCGCCACCACTACCCACCACCCACCACCACCCACCACTCACTCGCCACCCACCTGCTACTACCACCACCACCATCACCATCATCACCCACCACCCACCACCACCACTACCACCACCCACTCGCTACCACTTACCACCCGCCACCGTCACTCACTCACCCACCACCACCACCACCCGCCACCACCCGCAATCCGCGTTTGTAGTTTATGTTTTTCTAAAAATAAACAAAAATCAGTTTATAAAATTTTCGTAAATATAAACTGAAAACGTAAACGTTATCAAACATAAATATTTGCAGCTATTTTGGCAGTCCACAAAGCTATGTTTAAGCCCTAGCACACAAAGACCTAAACATTGCGTTAGACCGGATGGTCAAAATGGAAAAACGACAAGCTGCTAACATGGAGCGAGCTCTCTTCCCTTGCTGTGGCTGGTCACCTTAGTTCAGTCGAATGACTTTTGAGAGGCGAAACCAAACCGCCCGGTTTCTACTAAACCGCCCCACTCCCAAGGATCTTCGATAAACTTCCCTACCGACCCCACTTCTACTTCCTTTCTACATACTTTCCTAAAGCATGATCCACCCAACAAAACAAATTCTGATCTTGTTCCTAATATTCCGAAGTTGAGGATCGAGCTTTCGTGTGTCACTGATTTAGGGTAAAGCTATGTTTAAGCCCTAGTCAGACATCAATTAATTGAGATCCAACTTTTCCAGCCAGACCAAACAAAGTTAGGTAGAGAGAGGTTGGAATTTCCACCACTAATCCTGTATAAAAAGCAATTAAACCTGGAGAAGGCCATAAGTAAATGAAACTTATTAAACAAGAGAAAGAGAATGGATTGACAAAAAATACCAAAACTGAAATGACAAATTTTTGTGGAAAAAAACAGATTGATTGTCAGACAATGGCATCACACAAAATACCAAAAGAAAACTGGCTTTTAGGAAGCAACACAAAAAAAAGGCCAAAAGTAAAAAAAACAGTGTAGTTTCAGTTATGCTTCCCAACTCCTCACTTGGCCTCATCTTCAGAAACAAGCTAAGCCACACACTCTCTGCTTCAGTGCCTCTCTCTCACCACTTTTGTCTCTCTCTCAAACAATATGGGCTTGTACCTCTATTGGCTTTCCTCATCAATCCTGTTTTCTCTGTGACTATTAATCACAAAGTCACAACCATAAAAGATTTTTCAAAGAAATTTGCCAGTAAGTGATGAGATATGCATTTATCGGTTTAGGTGCCTCTACAAAACAGCAGAGAATATTTTGAACCATGGAAAGACCAAAAAAAAAAAAAAAAACAAAAAAGTCACACTAATTATCCTCTGCTTGTGTGTATGATTTTTTTCGAAAGCAGGGGAGAGAGAAGGGGAGTTTCACGTCACGGGTACACCAACTTGGTGTACTTATCTTTCATGGATTTGGTTAAACTGCTCAAGTATCAAATCATGACAAATTTAAATCATATGACATTGAAATATGTATCTAAATATTAAATACGGTTAGAAGGATGCATCATAGACACACACATATATGTATATATTATATATTATATAATATTATAAATTATGTAGAAATGTATATGAAATTAGATAGGATCTAGAAGAAAAATATGAAATTTATATATTTTATCTATATAATAGGCTAGAAATATTCTATTACTAAGAACTGTGAATTCTTATTCAAATATAATAAAAAAATTACATGATCAAAGGGTTCAAATTAAATATGGTATTGGAGACACATTCACACTCATACCCTTGTCTTATGACATTGAAATATGTATCTAAATATTAAATATAGTTACAAGGATGCGTCATAGACACACACATATATATGTATATATATTATATAATATTATAAATTATGTAGAAATGTATATGAAATTAGATAAAATCTAGGAGAAAAATATGAATTTCTATCTTTTATCTATAAAAATATTCTATATCAAAGTGTTTAAATTAAATATGGTGTCCGACACATATTCACTCTCATACCCTTATCATATTCGGTGAATCCGAATATTTAAATATGGATAAATTACACTTACACCTCCTGAGGTTTGTGTTTAATACATATCACCTCCTGACATTTGAGAAATTACACTAACCTCCCTGTCATTGTAATTATTTAGACGGAATGAAGATATTGAAGTCATGCACTCTCTCTTTTTTTGCTTTGCTTTACTTTCTCTTTTTTTTCCCCTTTCCTTTCCTTTTTTTTTTTAAAATGTAATTTCTTATGTTTTTCTACTACAGTTGTTACCTTTGATATAAACAGAGAGTTTTGTGAAATGAGACTATTAACCATAAGAGTGAAAATGTAATTTTCAAAACGTCAGGAGATGAATAGTAATCAGACCAAATCTCAAGGGGTATCAATGTAATTTACCCTTTAAATATTCTCACGAGGGAGTAGGAGACAAAAAATTCATATGCCATGGGTACACCAACCGACCTAACCAACCGACCTAGTGTACTCAGCTTTCTAAGAAAGAGGGTCCACAATTCAGGGGGAGAGATAGAGTTTCAGAGTGTACTCAGCTCTCTCACAAGGGGTATTCATTGCTGTAATGAAAATAAAGGGAGAAGAAAAGAAAATTACAGGCAGCACAACTATATCTAATAAATAGAATTACATTTCTATATGCAGTAAGAAATTAGGTAGAGCAAAGCAATAGAAATTAGGTAGAGCAAAGCAAATCATGGATTGCTGGTAGCCACCCCCCAAACCTATAAATAAACTCCAAGCAAGGTATGAGATCTATGAAAATTGACTAACACTAATTGTGGAGAATTAGGCAAATCACAGGAATTGAGGAAGCAGAGTAGATAAGTAGACAAAATATTCTAGTCCCAAAATGGGAAACACAAAACCAAAGCTAAAATTGAAGGACCACTCTACAAAACTAACATATAAAAGCATCATTTCCCAAAAAATAGAAAGCTAATCTAGAAACGAAATGAGCAATTATTGATCCAATGCTAGCAACGCTTTTCTAGTCCCAAAATGGGAAATACAAAATGCAAAGCTAAAATTGAAGGACCACTCTACAAAACTAACATAAAAGCTTCTTTCCCAAAAATAGAAAGCTAATCTAGAAACAGCCAAGAGTAACTATTTTTATCCAATGCTAGCAACAATTTTCTGCCCACAGAAGTATTTTCATTTATTTCTTTACAAGCAATAAATTCTGAGGCACCATTCAAAAAGATGCTTGAGATAATGTGTTGTATGTTGTTTGTTAATGACATAGCTTTAGTTGTCCAAACTACAGGTGAATTTAACGTCAGAATTGTGTGAGAATTAAAATCTAAAAGTTTTGTATCAAGTAGGACTAAGAGTACCAGAAGTACAAATTTAACAAAACTACAAATATGAAGGAAATTGCACTTGAAGAAAAATAATTGTAAAAGAGAGAAGCTTATACAGGCAGCAGCCTGATTCAAAATTGCACACCAGATAATTGATGCAGTATCTGTAAACATGTAAATGGGCACTCTAGGACTCCATGCATGATTTATGTCCCCAGTGAAAAATAAGGTATGGTGCAGGTTCTCTAAATCAAAGTTTTATTAGTCTCCGCAAAGTCACTCTGCACAAATCTTTCCATAGCAATCAGTTTGAAAATAGATCCAGACCAACCTTCTTGTCGTTTCTACCATGGTGCTTTTCGTGTCTCTACTCATTTTGTTATCATTATGCCTAAAATGTCAGTTAAGGTTTGACTTAGTGTTTTAAAAGGCTCTAGGCGTACCGAGAAGAGCGAGGCACGAGGCGAAGCACGCACCTCTCCAAAGCGAGGCGCAAGAAGAAAAGCAAAATTATAAAATAGAAAAACATTTCAACATAACAAATATATATAGAATTCTAAAAATCATAAAAGCAAGCTTTATAAGCATAACAGAGAAGAAAACAGAGAGATAACCCAGCGAAGAAGCACAAGAAGAAAAGAAGAATAAAATAAGAAGAGAAGAAGCAAAGAAAAGTAAGGAAAGAAAAAACAGAGGCAGACTTATGAAGAGAACCCATTGAAGAAGGGAAGAAGAAAATAAGAAAAGAAGAAGCGAGGAAAAATAAAGGAAAAAAAAAACAGAAGCAGAGAGATAATCCATCCAAGAGAATCCATCGAAGAAGAGAACCTGAACCACCGAAGAAGAGAAGAACCTAAAGAAGAAGTTGAAGTCGAGTCGTCTTCTCACTTCCTAATTGCGTTTTTTAATCTTCTCCACTTGAGGTTTTTTTTAATCACTTTCGGCTCTCTTTTGACCACGTTTGGTCATTTTATATTGAAGAGTTTTGATTCCCTATGGGTATGGCCACACAAAAAGCACTTAATTAACAGTTGGAGTAATAGGCAAAACCCATGAAGTCCGCGCCTCAAAGAATAGCCCTCGCCTTGGCGCCTAAGCTGTGCCTTGCGTATTGCGCCTTGCTTTGATCTATTTGAAGCGCCTCGTTGCGCCTCGCGCTTAGGCGCACGCCTAAGTGCACCTTTTAAAACACTGGTTTGGCTATTCTTCAGTTTCCCATGGTTGCCCAAACCAGATAATACTGGAATTGGTTCTCCCTTCCTTGTAAAGTCTGCTTCTCTAATTTATTGCCCATTAATTCCTTACTAGCAAGCATTTTTCCTCTCCAATATACCAACTGGTTGCAGCTCAAATACTCTGAGCTAACATACAACATCAACTAATTTATAGCCTAAAAACACTGTATTTCAAGTTTTGGAATAAATTTCATATCCCTCCCAATTCTAGAGAAGTAGAATTGGCTAGCCAGTTTTGTTTCAGACAGCCACTTTAAAAGAAGAAACAAATGCACACTGTGCGGTGCAACACACTCAAATGTTAAAACGTAACTTGTATTCTTACCAGTAAGGTGGATACCACCACCACCACACAAAAAAAGAAAAAGAAAAAAAAAATGAATAAATAAAAACCAAAAATCAGGTGGTGTTCAATGAAGAAGTTATGCAGGGGCTAACCATCAAGTAGCTACATGCTTATCATAGATTGCAATCCTGATCTATGCATTCTGTACATCAGGTCCAAATTCATTAAGGCAGAGCATTTGATTATGCACAGGCGGTGAATACCATCATTGGCCACACTAGTGAAAAATGCACCTAAAAGCACTAAAACATTTCAAAGTTCGTTACCAATTGCTAGAACAGCGATATCAAATATTAAGAAAAAGCAACCAAAAGAAAAAGAAAAAAAAAAAGTGATTCATAGCATGAAGAAAGAATGTGTAACTTGAAGTCTTAAGAAGGTCAAGGATGTCAAAATACTCAACAAATGTGCCCTAAGACATGAGTTTAGTTACAAAGCAAAAGGGTAGCACATTTGTTCATGTTTTTAACATTAGATGCAGAATATACTGAATCACATGATCCACCACACATAAACCACACAACACGTATAGCCTCAATTTACAATCCAAAAGACAATTTAAATTAGTAAAGAAAGAGAATGTCAACTCACAACCAGCAAAGACATGAAATACAACAAATCATACATGTAAAATTACAGGTCAAACATATAAAGAATAAACATGTTTCCAAGCAGAATGTTATTATTCCCCAACACATTGATGTGAAGAGGGTGAATAAAACTATCAACCGTATGGGCAAAAGGAAAAAACTAAAAAAGAGAAGAAGAAGAAGAAGAAGAAGAAGAAGAAGAAGAAGAAGAAGAAACTTCTCTAGCCGGCCATTTTAGTCAAGCGGTGAACGGTACTTCTTGCAACCCTGTTACCAGGATCAATTTTCATGACAGTCCGGAGGTCTTCTGCCCCAAGTTTGTACTTTTCCATACTCTCATACAAAAGTGCACGTTGTACAAGGACAGCTACATTTTCACCATCATGTTCTAGCACCTGCACAAGAAGCAAGCAGTGCATCCTATGAAGTCTTTCCTTTTTTTTTTTATTTTTAAAAAAAGAAAAGAAAAGATAATTGAGAAAAATACCCTAAAATAAAATAAATTTTAAAGAGCATATGACAGAGACCCATTGCCCATATGATAATCGTGCTATATTGGTTGCCATCACTTAAATTAGTCACTCTCCAATAACTCACACCAATAGAATTCTTAAACATATGTAACATAGATTATTTTAGGCCTTCCAGTGTGCGAAATCCACCAAGTGGATCAGAGAGCTGTTGTGAAATCTGCCTAATCAGACTAGCAGGATCTAGGAAAATTCAAGTAAAAAATCACAGTTTTCCCATGATCCATGTTTGTCACTGCAACTGAACCATCAATCCTTCAAACAGCTCTCCAAGCTATATGCTCTTAGTTACTTTTAAGCCATCAATTAACAGTAGCATGATAAGAAACAATTCAAACTAATTCATAGGCTATAATCTTTACACTAGATAAGTTGATTAAATATAAATTTTCAACCTTGCAATTAGAATTTAAAAAATTATTCACCACAAAAGAATTATTATATACCTTTGTACAATCTGCCACAGCCTTTTTATACTCCCCAACTTCCTTGTAACATGAAGCCCTGCTAGACAAGACCTCCATGGAAGCAGCACCACCACCAGTCTTCTCAAGAAGAATCACAGCCCACGAAAGCCACTTTATGGCATCAGCATACTGCCCCTGTTTGTAATTATCCATCCCCTTGTTTTTTGCAGCGGAGGCTGAAACACCAGCAGGCGGTGGAGGAAGCCCTTCAAGCTCAGTCGTCCCACCCATATCTTTCCCTCCCCCAAACTCTGAATCCATCCCCCAATCGTCAGCACCCGAAAATTGCTGGCTCCCAACTCCTTCAGACCCCTTAGGAGCTGCTCCAGCCGAGGCTGAGGATGAGGTAAACAGAGAATCAAAGGCATCAACACCGGAGGACTGAACAGGAGGCTGATTCTGAGAAGTAGGAATTGCAAAATCGTCCATTTTCGAGTAAGAACTAGAATTCGATCCCATCGAGTTGTTCTTAAACTCAGGAAACGGGTTTGCTGCAAATGCGGGTGTGCTTGATTTTGAAGCATTTTGAAAATTTCCAAATGCATCATTGCCTGAATTGGACTTCTTATTATCATTGCCTTTTCCTGAAAATAAGAAATTCATACCGCCTGCTGACTTCGATCCAAAATCAACCAAAGAACCAAATGGGTCCTTATTCAAACCCATCCCACCTCCACCACTCTTCATTGAAGGACCTCCAAGATTCACACTTTTCATATTATTATTCACAGTACTATTGCCACTACTATTGTATCCACCAGTATAACCCCCAAAACCCTTGGAAGAACCCCAATTACTCCCAGAATCACCGGTTTTTGGGAGCGAATCCGCCATATTCCCCATTGAAAACGGACCCTTATTCGATCCCGGTGCCGAAACAGGGGTTGCATTCTTCAAAGGCACATTGCTATTGCCCTTATTTTGCCCTATAGCAGAGCTAACAAGGTCACCAAACAAATTAGGGTTCTTGTTATTGACAATCCCAATACTGGCGGTGGTGGCACTAGGCGTCGCCGCAGCCGGAGAACCCCAGCTCTTCCCGAAGATGTCACCGACCATCGAGGTCGGAGCACTCGGCGGCTGGTTCGACACCGGCTGGTGAGTCCAGGAGGGTCTGGGTTGCCAAGACGAGGTCGTATTGGGCTTCGATTGCGTAGATGCGAATGAAGAAGATGAGAAGGAAGATGTTGTTGGGTTCTTGCGATCGTTGAGAGATCGAGAACGGTTCGAGCCGATTCCGAAATCGAAGTCGTAGTTGTTCATGATCTTGAATTTTTTTTGGGGTTGTGAACTCAAATGATGAGAATTGAAAGACTATATGGAAAAAAATTTGGAATTGAATAGTTGAGATTGTTGTTGTGGAGATCGGAGAAGCGGAATTGAATAGTTCAGAGCGTACCTGGTTTGAAGGAGATCGTGAAATGGAATTCGAGATCACGAGAGAGAGAGAGGTGTGGAGGTTTGATGCAGAACGGTGCGCAGCCTTGTTTGGGGTTGATTATAATATTATAAGACAGACGAAATATGGAATACACCACCTCAACTTGGTGATAAAAAAATAGGAAAATTATTTATAAATTCTATTAGGAAGACTTATGTTATATATAATTTTACTAAAATATTTATGTTTTAATAAGTTTTTGTAAGAAGTTTATTGATACATTTATCTTTAATATTAGTTGTTAATATCATAAATAATAGTAAAATCATATACAAGAAATTATATGTTATCATAGATCATATTTACATAAACGTAACGTGACACCTACATAAACGTAACGTGATACCTATGATCTATGGTGACATTCATATCTACATAAACGTAACGTAATGTGACACTTATATAAACGTAACGTGACACCTATGATCTATGACAATATAGGAAATTGAATGTTACCATAGATCATATTTATATGAAACGTAACGTGACGCCAACATAAACCAGCAATATTTTCATATTTAATTTAAAAAAATAAGAACTCATTAAATTTGCGAAGCGTAACGTGACACGTCACGTTACGTTTATGTAGGTGTCACGTTACGTTATGTTTATATAGGTGTCACGTTACGTTACGTTTATGTAAGTGTCACGTTACGTTACGTTTATATAAGTGTCACGTTACGCTACGTTTATGTAGGATCTTATAGAATACATTCCTATCTAAATAGGATTTGAGACTCTATAAAAAATTATACAAGGTTTAGCCTACCATAAGTGTTTGAAAAATGACTTATAAATAAATCTCCCTAAAAAAATACATTTTAATATTTCAAAATGCATCACAATTATAGTTAAAATCAACTAATAGAATATGGTTATTTATTTTAGAATTAATTAAAAAAAAACCCTTAATATTTCACTTGTTTTTCAATTTAATTCTCAGAATTTCAATTTCAATAAATTAAATTATGAACTTTCATTCGTATTTCTCCGTCTATTTCCATCCATCTTCGTCTCACTTTATCTTCTTCTTTCTTTTAGATCCAAGCTAACATGTTCAAATCATTATATCTCATTCGTCATAAATCCATTTTGCTTCATTTTTACGTCGTTGAATTCATCTCATGGTTTAATTTTCATTCCATCCCTCGTACGTCTTGTTATATCTTTTTTTGCATATCATCGAAGTTTCAAAAGTTAAAAATAAGATTTTTTTCCCCATATTACAACCATATTTTTAGGATAAATTATAAATACATTCCCTGAGATTTGATTAAAATACAAATCGCTCCCTATGGTTCTGGAAATTACATTCCACCCCCTGAATTTCTAATTTCATAACAAATCGCCAATTTTATAAATAAATCATTAAATCAATTAATAGGTTTTAATGATATTAGAAATATGTTTCAATTAATAATTTAAGTAATTTTATTATTGTATAGGAGAACAATTATAAATTTTATTTTTTTAAATAATTTTTTTTAATAAGAGGTATTTATAATTTTCTAAACCAAAAGAAATAATTTGTAATTTAAACAAATTTCAGTAAGAGGTGACCATATTTTTAGTAGCTGAGAAGCAAACGACGATGCTATCACGGCAGGAGAAATCTTACTTTTAACACCCCTACCAAACATCAAGTCAGCACAGCACCATTTTCTTCCTCTTCCTCCCTCTTTGTCGTTTTGATCTTCAACAAGTAAAACAAAATCAATTCATAATTTTCCAAACCTCATATGAAATGAATAAAAAAAAAAAATCATATGAACAAACAGATACATATATATATACACACACAATTGAAAACTTTTTATTTACAACAAAGAAAACAAAATCTATTTCAATTAGTTTCTGAATCTCTTTAAATGATACAAATATATACACACATTGAAATTTTATTTTATTTTATTTATTTATTTATTTATTTTTTAAATTTAGCAAAGAATACAAAATCATGTTCATTGTTATCTCATACGTGCAGAGAGTTACATATACATATATGAAGTGGGTAAAAATTAATCAAGTCTTGGTGCTAGGCCCAATGCGATGTTCACTCCGAGGTTGAGCTAGGTTGGACCTTGGCCCTATGGCCAACACTTGCTCCGAAGCAAGACAATCATAGGAGCTCGGCCCAATGTACGAATGTCACTCCAAAGTGGGCCGAGCAACATGGTGGACCTCCTGGACGGGCAGCCAACCACTCCGAAGTAGGTTGAGTAATATATTGAACCTCCTGGATGGACAGACAACCACTTCGAAGTGGGCAGAGCAACATGTTGGACCTCCTGGTTGGACAACCATTCTAGAGTAGGCTAACTCAAAGAAGGCTAATTCACTGAAGATCTTTCTTGGGCCCACAAGAGACAAACAACTCTGCTCATCTCCCTTTGTATGAACAGAACGTGGAGACATGGAGGTGCAGAGGGACAAGGTGCATATAAGACAGACCTGTATCTGAATGACAGACGGAGTGGTTGTCCTCCTCTAATGAGAGATGTCCGCTAATGAGACAAACAAAACAGACCTGCACTCGAGTGTCAGGCGGAGTGGTCGTCTTCCTCCAATGGGAGACGACCACGAATAAGACACATTGGACAAATGGCAGAGAAAGAAGGACTTGAACGACAAACAACCTTCTCCTATAAAAGGTGAACACTATTCACTCTCAAGGGATCAAAAAAAATCCACACACTTAACACATACACACTCTGTATTCTCTCATCTTCCTTTCCCTTTGTCCCTGACTTTATCATCGGAGGGGTTTCCGACCAAACCCCGATCAGGCAGCCTCACCGTTTGTTATTCTGTGCAGATCTTCAATTCCCAAAGCACGCTGTTTATCCACGAAGTTCAACCTGTAACACCCCACTCCCGGGTCGTTAAATACACTAAAATAGCCTAAAAAAAATACAAGTTTTGCTCCCAAAAATAATAATTACAAAATCGTCTCCAAATGGGACAATATCCTCCAAATATTCTAATTACCTCCAAAATAAACAATATTACAACTATCTCCAAATTTAATAATTACACTGGTGGGTCCCAAATCTCTATATTAATAAATCTTTTTAATCTCAATTTTGAGCTCCACTAAAATCTGCTCCGCACCTGAAAAATAAATTAATTCGGGAAGTATACAATACGACAGGAATACAAGGCTCGGATACAGAATAAATTAACAGGAATCCAACAATTTATGACATTAAATCTACGATACGATAATAAAGTAATTTACCAAATTGCACAACAAATCAACCATAATTTATCTAGGACCAAATACTCGGTCCTACTCAGTACATGACCAGTGAATAAATTCATTTATTCACCCACCTCACCCAAGCTCCACGCTTATCCGGGTATATTGGTGTAAACAATTAATAAGATTCACTCGATCCACGTACGGAGTATTTCCATATCATTCAGTCAGACAAATCACCATTTTAACACAGAAATATTTGTAGGAAACTTTACCAAATGATCAGAATATCAACGATTCGACTATGAGATGATTTTACAAAATCTATTAATAACCACATTAATCAAGTGGATTACAAATTGAGGATAATTAAAAATAGAGAACTCTTTGCAAAGAGATTTAAACAGAGCATATTGTATACAACCCGAATTTACCTCAAAATAATTAATTGCATCACCATAAATCTAACATTGCTCCATGGATCTCCAAAAATAGCTTTGATCAAACTTCTAAAACAGAAAGTATGTATAATTTAATAAAATCTACAACTCTCAATTTATTTATTTATTTTATAAAATACTTATTTTCACTCTAAACACTCCTATATCTAAACTTAATATTTCTACTATACACAATCTATGAGAGAAGGAGGGCCGATAGAGAGAATAAATGAAGAAGAAAAAGGGAATGTGAGGAACCCTCACTTTGTTCATTTATAAAGGATTAAAGAAGAGAAAGAAAAGATTAAAAAAATCAAAAGTAAATGGAATGATGAAGTGATGGAATGATGGGTTTGGTGTGCCATGTCAAAGAACTGTGGGTTGTTGCCCACAGTTTGTTTGCTCGTTTTTTTTTTTTTTTTTTTAATATTGTTTCTTTTTCCACGTGATGGGAAATTAATTTATTATTATATCAGAATAAATAACAATATGATAGATATAAAAGGGATGAGATAAATATAAATAAATAATTTAAAATTAGATTCTTATCTAAAAATCTCACCACTAAATTATCATAATAAACCACCAATACCACTCACTAAATATTAATACTTCAAAATATGGGGTGTCACACAACCCTTCTTCATAGTGCGGAACCCCGCATAATTGGCGCCGTCTGTGGGAAAACCACTGATTACTTCGTGACGAACTCCAGCGATGAGAATTGAAGATACACCCCATTCTGGACTAGCAGAGAGGACTCCAATAACGGAGAGAACCAAAGATAACGGTCCAGCATTCCCTAGAAGGCATGAAGACCTTGCAGACCTTAATGAATAGACCACCGATGTAGTAGAGCAACATCATGTCATCGTCGGCGAGTCACCCCAACACAACTCCCTTGATAGAGACAACCGAGACCAAAAGGAGAAAGTACCACACTGTTCTATGACAAGCTCTGGTGAGGGGAACGAAAGAGATACCTTTGTTGCCACTGCGGAGAAGGACTTTGTTGACAGAGAAGACAAAGGATAACAAATTAACACTTTGAAGAGTGCCGAAAAACCAGATCTGCACTAATAGATATAGGGAGACCAGATCTGCACCGACAGATGAAGTCCAGACACGGCGTACACCACTGTACTATTGTTTAGTCGTTCTAATGCCTTATTCTAAAGGACTCCAATGAAAGAGATGATGATCGATAAAGGACTATATTTTATGAAAGTGTTGGAGGACCAGATCTGCATCGAAGAACAAATTCCAAATACGATGGAACACCACCGCATCATTGCTACTGACTCGTCTCATCATCTAGACGGAAGGACTCTAATATTGGAGAAGACGAATGATAAAGAACCAATAATCCTAACAGTGTCAAAATACTAGATTTGTATCGATGAATGAAGTCTAGATGTGGCAAAGTGCC